CGCCGCGCCGTGGCCGAAGGGCTGTCCCCGCGGCGGCTTTCCTCTCTCTCGTGTGTTCTTGGCCCCTTTCTCAGGGACTGACCTGCCCGTACGACGTAAGCGAGGCTGCCCGGAGGAACAGCGGGTTTTGTTCCCTCAGCAGCGAAATCCCGTCTCTTCAGGAAAGCTTTCACATCCACCTGGCAAACGGCTGCTTGAAAAGGGGGTTGGTTTCCCACATGACATGCAAATGCGTGCAAACTGCTTATGGATAAATCTCGATGTCAAAGGTTGGGTTTGTTTTCTGTTTGTGAGAAAACATTTCATGTCTGGATGGAAGCTTCAAACTGAATAGTCCTGGGTTGCTAAAATGTCTTGGGAAGGTGCCCAGGACTTTCTAAAAGTCTCCAGCTGTTGTTCTCGCAGGCGCTGGCCACACAGATACAAAATTAGGATTTTGAAGTCTCTTTGTCAGATGTGGGCAAGTGGGTAGTAAATCTCCAGAATTTCTTAAAACTTCCGTTTATAGTTTTACAAAGCGTAGAAGCTCAGCAACAGCTGTCTGATGCGTAAGGGTGTTACAATTTCTTAGGCATTTTTGCTGTGATCTGGAACAAGAAGGTTTTTATCCGCTTTGTGCGGGCAGAACGCTGGAGTAAACAGATTTACTGACTTGCTTAGGCTATATTAAGTCCTGTGGCAGACTAGGAAATTTAAGGTAAGACTTTTCCAAGTCTCTGCTTCCCCTCCCCCCCAATCACAAGAGTGTATTAGTAGTCTGGATAGTACAAAGTGCAGCAAACACCCTTTTTGTGAATAAATAGGCCTTGGATGAGCATTCTATTTTGGGCAGGTGAACCTTGTTAACAGCAGGGATCTAGGCAGGCACGACTCCCTCTTAAGGGCCGTGTGCTGCTTTATTTTCAAGGGAACGAATGCTCTGAAAGCTGAAGAGACACGGTTAAAGGTCTGGCCCTGAAATTAAAGGTTTTGTGCGCAAGCCACCTAGGAGCCGAGAAGGGCCGTGGTCAATGCCCAGAGGTGCGACGGGCGCTCGCGGGGGTTGGTGGTGTGGGCGCTGCTTTGCTGTGCGCGTGGCTGAGGTGGCCTTGAAACCGCGGTGCGTCTCTGGCGTTTGAAATGGGGCCAGGGAAGGTGGACGGCGTTGGGGCTGCGGGTGGGCAAGCGCGTCCC